GTTTTTAAGATTCATCTTATATATGGAACCTTAAAATTGTACTTAAAACTTAGGTTGAAAATTACATAATGATATTGATCAAGTTTGATGAAGAGAATGTTGCTATGGATATATTACCAAGAAGGATTTTTTTTTCGGTTTTATCATTTAAAATTACATCAAAGCTTATGTGGTGGTTTTTTGCATCCATTTCGAGATTGTATTATTTCTAAACAAACATATATGATATATGTCTTCGAAGTCGCAAAAATGCTCCATCCGAACCCCTCCCCAATCCCTATCGAGAGGGAGCGACCCGCTACTTGCCTACCCACACTTTGAGCCTCACACTAGCCTACACATCAGCAGAAAGGAATATACGCCACTGCAGTACTGATACGGTTTGATGATCCAAACTCTCTTTGCTTAAAAAAATTTGAAATTGAAAAAAAAACAAGAAATACCCCGGTAGGTCACAATGACGACTTTATTAATGACAAATTTCTGAGTCCCAGGATGCATCAATAATTTAGATTTGGTGTCCCTACATGTACATGCCATAGTGTTCAAAATAAAGAAATTATAATATTTTTTAATGATGAGCTTTAATTCAGAAAATATGTTAGTTTGACTACTCTTTAGTTGATGATTCTAAGCCTCATAATACATATATATCCGAAACATTTGGCTGTGATGTCGTAAATAAATAATCAGGGGGAAAAAAAAGAAAAATCAAGAAAGTAGGTTACTGCGACCTCCTTTTGTTGACACATTCCGAAGTCCCAAGATCCATCAACTAACACAATATTCAACCTTTCTGAAAATGAAAAAAACTGCAAAATTCAGAAAGTGGTAATTGTGACGTACAGTGGGTCAAAATACCCTCTGGTCCTTAGACGCATCGACTGACAAGATTTGATGATCCTTGTACTCATAATGGGCAAAATATCAAAATTCTAACAAATATTATAGGTCAATTTTGATGTGACCGTAAGACCACGTCCTTTGCCATATGGTGATGCATTGCAAAAGTTTTTTTTTTTCTAATATAAAGAGAATAAAATCAAGTCATTCAGGTGTCAGGACAGTCAGATATATAGATGCTAATTTAAGGAATGTCAGCTCTGATTTACGAACCATCTAATCGTTCATTTTTGTTGACTTTAGGTAACCTTTGCAGTGAAGGAACATAATAATACACAAATAAATCTGCGCAAAGAGGGAAGGGGGACGTCGATCTATCTGTGATCGTATCCAGAAAAGAACCACCTTATGGTCGTCCACTCATATGAAGTGTAAAAACTGATCAAACGGAACTAAAATAAAAGGTATATTTGGTCGGACTAACAATTTGTCACAAAAAATATTAACAATTTGTCACAAAAAATATTAACAATTTGTCACAAAAAATAAATGTGTTGAAAAGACGCATGCACTTGCTAAAAGTTGACGCATAATTTGCTATTCATCGTCTTATTTTTTTTTACTAATCACAGTATATGTATATATGTGCTTGTAATGTGATTTGTAAATTGCAAAAAGATAAATTATTCTGCATGTCAAACTTTAGGTTTGAACATATTTCAGTGTCTCTATTGTACAAATCGGATTTGACAATAGTAGTCGTTCACATTTGTTATATTTTAGAAATTATATTCATGTTCATGAATACATGTATGGGTTAGAGTTTTAGACGTAAGGTCATTCAACGTAACGAATAACAAATGGCTCGGACTGCCCCGAAGCCATGCCATGAACTCATTGTAAACTTTATCAATATTAATATACATACATGCAGTGTATAAATCTATTTTAAAAAAGACGGGACTTTCTTATAACTATTTGCGCAATTCAGAAAAAGAGCTCGATTTTTACAGCAGTTAAGAAGCCTCAAACCCCCCACCTACATGTACCACCACCACCACCCCACGTCAAAAAAATACTAAACTCTTTTTTAGATCCATTATGACGCTATTTAATATCAATTTAATTAATAAATTAACGTTCTTCCCAGTACTTTACGGCTTAAATTGAATCTTGTAAAAAATATAGAGAGAGCACTTATACCATCTTCATTCAATTTGAAATCATGCGAAAAGTAATCTAAAGAAGAGGTCAAGAATGTGTAAATTACTGTTTTCTGAGAGACTGTAGTCAATATGGATACATTTCATTTTCTGATTGGAAATAAAACACAGATTTGTAACATTTTTTTTCTTCTCACTTTTCATTGAAAATGACATTATAACCTTTTTTTTTAAAAAAAAAAACCATTATTTGATCAAGCTTAAGTTATGAAGAATCATTTAAAGAATTGATTTCTCAAATCTGATAAATATATATAGATTTATTTCATCTAATAGATCTTTACCTTAAAATTGACATACAACATGTTTACAACCATGTGTACTGACCCTACCCTTGGCGTTAAAATGGATCGTTCCTCATGACGTCAAAAAAAATATGGAGTCTTTCATTGTGACGTTGCATCTACTGTGACAACATAATCAGTATTGATCAAAGAAATTACCAATTGTTGCAACTACAAACATGGGGAGATCTAGAATTCTTGGACAAATTATGGTGGGATTAACGGTGGGGTTGCCAATGTGTATGAGTGCACCTTTACCTGCTAGCGTCCACAAGGATGGGATATCTGATTTCCAAGAAACCCATGGATTCAAAGGAGAGCCACATTTTCCTTTGATCAAAAACCTTCTGATATTATATGGAATTGGCATCATTTGCTTTTTGATGGGATCCTTTGGATGTATGGTCGCAGAAATGTGTAAATGTCCATGCGAAGACGATATTGAAGAGCAACGTCAAGACGACTGGAACTTGGGTCCCCGTCCTAAACCTTACTACTTTTACCATGGAGAAAAACCAGCTGGCATGGAGGGAGAGAGGGAAATCTTCCAGGTAACGATCCAGAATCTGTCATTTCCAAAACCTCATCCATCTACGAAAATCCCAACATTGTAACTGTGATCGAGTGCCCTGGCCTGTACGGATTGCATGGTTTTAAAGAAGATGAGGAGATTATCGTTTGCAATCCCATGTTCAGTGAGGAGTAAGTTGGAGAGATTGTTGTCCCATTTTACTGAGGAGTAAAAATGGGGTGTTGACGTTGTCAAGTTTTCACTGAGGAGTAGAATGATGAGTTTGAGGAACTTTTTTTCACTATCACGAAGGAGTTCATAGGGTGAGCAGTTTAAATACCATTTTCACTGAGGAGTTGGATGAAGAGTTTGAAGTATACGGTCACATTTTCACGGAGGAGAACTTGAAAATGGAAAAAAGTTTATCTTCATTGTCCGAGGAGTGGGTAATAGGATGGGGATATAGGGATGTTTGTAATCCAGCGTCTCACTGAAAAGCAAGAAAACGCCCAAAAGAGACACAAGATCTTTGTTTCGAAGAAGATCCAATCGATGAAAATATTAACATTGGGAACCAATGCAGGAAAAAATCTCTTCATTGATGTCTTATTTTGAACGAACTTTCATAATAAATGCATGCACACGGGTATTTAGGTTTATGACTTGTTTTGTACAAGTAATGAATCGAAATTGTCTGTTATAGTGTTTCTAATTTGAAATAATCTGTAAGGGTGAAAAGATAGATCTTATAACGGACACGTACTCCGGGCATGAAAATGCTGGTTTGCTTGGAACTTCAGTCTGTATGGCACAAATAATTTAAACATGCACTGCTTTGTCAAATATTGTTGTTACATGTCTGTGCTTATTTTTGTACATGATTTTTGTATTTTTTGTTTCAATGTGTAATAGTGTTAATATTAATAAAATTTTTATATTTTATTTTATTTATTTATTTTGGCTCTTTATCGATTATGTAGGCAATTGTTGTCAGTTTCTCAAATGAATTAAAGAAAAAATGAATCTTAAGGAAAAGATTTTTGCACATTGAGAAAATTATAAGTGTGTAAAGGAGTAAATATTGAGCTTATCTATTATATTTTCAACATGGGGTACCTAGCATTTACCACCGGGAAAAATGTTCAAAGACAATGAAGCACTGATGAACAGAAATCACTGTTGTCTACTTAAGTGGGCAAAATATCTGCAAATGAAGTGTTCAGTCTATTCATCTTGGCTCATTAAGATGTTATGAATGCTTGATTTGATCACATATTAAGTAATAACTGTTCATTTCAATTTATTTTTATCTCGATCAAGGGGCAGATTATACGTACTCTATCTGCATAAAAATACCACAAAATCATAACTCTTTCGTGTGCAGCGTATAGAAAGCTCTTAAATAACTACGCTTTTCAATTTTTCGGGAAAGTGACAAATTAAGGAGTCTTTAAAAAAAAATCAAAACTATGTTGCAAAACAAAAATCCATGTAAACATTACAAGACGTATATGTAGTATCTAACTTTAATTATTCATAACTAGTTAGAGAGTTTATTTTTAATCTGTTTTAACTAATTTAACTACACTTCTACAAAAACCAAAAAAAAGTATACACATAACTGTATGCTTCCAGGGATGTTTCAGAATGTAATGGCAGTTATGGTGCGTTTTATTGCATAATTATAAAAATTTTGTGTTCAATGAAAAAACATCTACATGCATTTTCAAATTATAGGTAAATGATTTTTTCCACATGATGCATTAAAAATTAATACATTCGTTTCCATCCTTTCGATGCTTTAAAATTATAATGAAAATTACACAACTGCACGTGCATACACTCGCAACTAAATTACATTTCAATAATCTCTACATGTTTGGATCTTGTCACATATATTTCCTTGAAATTGACAGGGTAAATCATAAGAAGAAATTGACATGGTGTGACTGTTTTTGTGTGGAAATAACATGTTTACATTCTCGAACGACACTTATTGTCAGTAAGCATTACCACAATTACTGGAATTAATCATTATTTAGGATAATTATTAACCCTTGTACAACTGCAATCTTTCATCATTATTCTTCTTTATGGAAATAGGAAGTGGTTCTTCAAATTTAGACCACTTAGATATTGTATATAAGCTCCATGTTTGAAATCTCACCGTCACATCAAGAAGACTTGCAATACCAAGTGCTATGGCCAATTCTAACATTTTTGCCCTTGTGGTGATTTGCATTGCTGCAGTTGCAGGTAGATCTTTAATTTTATTAGGGTCTTCCGTCTCCAACGGAAGACCCTTCTATTATTGTATTGTTTCTTTTTCACTTTTATTATTATTATTCCACTTTTTCTTTACAATTTTTGTGCAGAAGATATCTCGCAAACGGTTCGATCGATTTTCATGAAATTTTCAGGGGTAATGCGTTTTGATCTGAAGATGATCCTTTTTTCTTCAAATCCTTAAAATTCACTTCCGGTCGGAAGTTATCGCCCTTTAATCGATTTTCAGATAACCATTTTGTCGACACAAAAACTAAAAAACGACAAAAGCTAGAGCGCTGAAATTTTCAGCGATTATAGACGACATGTTGAAGTTTTGCACCTGGGTTTTTAAATTTTCCGGAAGTACCTAGTATGGAAGCTCGGTAGGGATCGAATTTTAGGACATGAATCAGGAGTGAATTTTCGAGACATTTTTTATGATATCTCTAAAACTATCGAGATTTTCTAAAAACATATTGAATAGAAATTGTGCAGAATTACAAGATCTTTTATTTGATATCAAAGAAAAAGGGCTGACTCATCACATTAGGGGCCGAGAGGGGCTGAAATTCTTTAGTCAATAGCTCTTTAACGATCAAAATTTTGTAATGCATTACTGAAGCAAAAATGTTTATCTCAACAATTTACAACTATATATTATAATATTCACATCATATGTTACATAATTATGGGCCATTAGGGGCCAGAATGCAAAATCTTTGATGCTTTATATTTCAAAAGTGGGAAATATTTTGATAAGCAATATTGAACAAAAGATGTTCAATATAATATTCTAAACAATATGCAATTTTTCATTTTTCTCTAAACGTCCCCATTAAGGAGTTAAAGGGCCGGCCCCTAAATGCTTCTTCTGCTAATATCTCGGAAACGAAAAAGAATTTCTGAATAGTTGTTGAACAAAAAGTGTTTAAAATCATAAGAGCTTTAAAGTGGTATGAAAAAAAGGGGGCTGGCCCCTCAAAATAAGGGCCAAGAGGGACCGAAAGTCTTTAATCAATAACTCGTTAACGATCAATATTTTGTAATGCATTACTGAAGCAAAAATGTTAATATTAACGATTTATAACTACATATATTGATATTCACATTATATGTTACATAATTAGGGGTCATAAGGGGCCAAAATGCAAAATCTTTAACGTTATATATCTCAAAAGTGTGAAATATTTTGATATGCAATACTGAACAAAAGATGTTCAAAATAATGTTCTGAACAATATGCAACCTTTTATTTTTTCCTTAACGTCCCCAATAGAGAGTAAAAGGGCCGGCCCCTAAATGCTTCTTTTGCAAAAATCTGGGAAACGAAAAAAAAATTTCTGAATAGTTGTTGAACAAAAAATGTTCAAAATCATAAGATCTTTAAAGTGATATGAAGAAAAAGGGACTGGTTCCTCAAAATAGGGGCTGAGAGGGGCCGATAGTCTTTGATGAATAACTCTTTAATGCTCAATATTTTGTAATTCATTACTGAAGCAAACATGTTTATCTCAACAATTTACAACTATATATTATAATATTCACATCATATGTTACATAATTAGGGGCCACAAGGGGCCAGAATGACAAATCTTTGGCTCCCTATATCCCGAAATTTGGAAATATTTTGATAAGCAGTGTTGAATAAAAGATGTTCAAAATAAGTTTTTAAACAATATGTAACCTTTTCATTTTTGCTTAACGCCCTCATTAAGGAGTTGAAGGGACAGCCCCTAAATATTTCTTTTGCATATACCTCGGAAACGAAAAAAAAAATTCAGAATAGTTGTTGAACAAAAATGTTCGAAATCATGAGAGCTATCAGAAGATACCAAGAAAAAAGGTCTGGCCCCTCAAAATAGGGGCCGGGACGGGTCGAAAGTCTTTAATCTGTAACTCTTTAATGATCAATATTTTAATACACACTACTGAAGCAAAATTTTGGTCTTAACAATTAATTTTTTTCATTATATTTGAACAAAAATCTCAGTCAAATTCTAATCTCATCTTATCAAAAATCGGACGGAAGACCCACTCGTTGCTCGCAACGAGATCGCATCTAGTTATATTTCTGTTGAATAGTTCCTAACAGGTAATTTTTTGTTTGTTTTTAATAGAAAGAAGTCCTTTTCATTAGAAACTTCAAAGTTAACATAAAGATAATCATTTCTATTGTGTTTCTCTCTCGTCCTTACAGAGCATGTTTCGCAATTAATCTTGGCGTGGTTTAATTCATTTGTTTAGGTATATTATTCTTACGTGTATATGAAAAGTAAATAGCAAAATAAATTTATTAATTTTTAATTAATTAATTGATGAAACGTATTGACTACGGGTATGCATAAAAATAATTCTGATTGTAATTCTATATAAAAAAAAGTATTTCATATTCAATATAAAAGTGAAAAAGTAATCTGTTTCAAATTAATGTATGAAAAAAGTGAAAATAACGAACAATGATCGATCTCATAAATCCTGTTATCAATACAAATCGTGAAAAGTACCCCTTGGAACTCCAGAGGTGGGTCAGGTGCCTTAGAGGAGTAAGCATCCCTGTAAACAGGTCACACCCGCCGTGAGCCCTCTGTACTGGTTAGGTAGACGGAGTAATCGGCAATCAAAATCAGTGTAATTACAAAAGCCTTACAATGGGTATGAAACATGTTAGTCAGAATACGACCCAACGATATGTTGTATTTCCGAACAAAATCATTATATCGACCATATGATTTGCAAAATTCTGACTATTAAATTTTTTTGAAAGCCTTGTAACACCAACTTATTTGTCAGTAGCCCGCTTCGATTTAAAAACTGATCGTACTCCAAACATCAAACATGCTCTTGCGTACTGAATCAATACTGAATAAATACCCTGAATGTGATATTAGATTATTACTAAGGAAAAGCTTACGATGGAAAACCTGAAGTCATCACGTTGTCATATAGTTATTTGACCATTAACGTCTATAGTCAGTTAAACACCCAAGTATGTGGCACCCTGTGCTGTACAATATATCATTCCATCCATCAAGTGTAAATATATGCATGTCAATGTTTTACATTGTTATAAAAATTATATTAAGTGTGTGCCGGTCTTGTAGAGTAGGCTTTCCCCTCTAAAATCTTCCCCCACGGAAATCTCACCAGATTCAATTTTCAGGGGGAAATCCTACTCTGTGTAATAGTTATAGAGTGCGATTTCCCCCGAGCCAATTTTCCCCCATAAAATATCATGGCTGCTCTTATGTGTGAGGGGGAAAGGGGGCGACACGTTGTTACAAGTGCCCTACATTCAAAATGGCAACCAGTTTCGTTGAAATATACGAAGTTTTAATTTTAAATCTCATTTTTCTCAGTAACCGTCCAACATTTTTTTTTTGAAGCATACAAATCTTATTCCTTACATCTGGTCAAACTGGTTTCTAAAAAATTGTTCATTTAAATCGGTTGGACAAATTTTAACTGTATCAACAAGAAATTTTATTTTTTGTGCATTTTGTTTCCGAGTGTATTTCAAACTACATGTGCATTGATGTGTAAGTGCCTTTCCAAATTTCTGGTGTTTAAATATTGGAATGGAACTAAAAATGGGTCATTTATTTCTAAAAATTTGAAATTTTGCAAAACGTTCACAGAGAGAATTTGCTCTCTGCTTTCAAATCCAATATCGCAGCGTTTCTTCTATTGTTTTGTTTTTGATTTTGGCTTTTTCCCCTTTGAAGAACTACTCGATTCAAATACGCACAAAATGGTATGTGGAACCTATCGATAACATAAATTTTAGAATTTTCTATCACACTCTTTGTAAAAAGGATGGACCCATTGATCAATATTGGGCCCTTGAGAGGCAAACAAATTATCAAATCACTAAAGGTGCCCTTATACAATTTAAGAACTTGTGAGCAAACATGAACTGCTGTTCCAAGGTTGGGTGTTGAACCATTGAGTCTTACGATTTTTTGAGTGATTTATTCCCAAGAGTTAAAATTTTGTGTTAAGACTGGATGAATTAAACTATATGTTTTAAGATTTCATACTAAATTAGACAATTCTTGAGTCGAAACACTCATATTTGCAAAAAAATCAGTTCACTTTCATTCAAATTTTTTTTTCAACATTGTTTTTTCGAAATGATTTAAGCATTGATAAAAGAGGGGAAATCCTACTCTGAGAAAGAACGAAGGGGAAATTTGGCTCTAGTATGAGATTTCCCCTCGGGGAAAAATCCTACTCTAGAGTACAGATTCCGGGGGAAAGATGGCTATGGGAAAATCCTACTCTACAACACCGGTTCATGCATATAATACTTACATTCAATTGCTCGTGTGTTTGAACCTTACATGTATTTATGTTGATATATTTTGATTTCATATAGATGTATAATATAAATCAAAGTAGAACCATTTTGCTCTTATATTTTGTTTTACATTTTAAAAAGTATAAAGAAATACGTAATAGAATTTTTTTTTTTTTAAAAAGTACACAAATGAAATCAAATAATTTGAGCTGCATGTTCCCATCTTGTGTCATAGTGTCTGCAACTTATTACTCCGGTGGAGGAAACTGGTACCCAGGTGGTGGAAATATGTATCCAGGAGGAGGAAGTCTGTATCCAGGAGGAGGAAACTGGTACCCAAGCGGCGGAATCAACTGGTACCCAGGAGGAGGAAATATGTACCCAGGCGGCGGAAACAACTGGTATCCAGGAGGAGGAAATTGGTATCCAGGAGGAGGAAACCTGTACCCTGGCGGTGGAAACTTGTACCCTGGAGGAGGAAACTTGTACCCTGGAGGAGGAAACTTGTACCCTGGCGGTGGGTACCCAGGAATTGGCAGGAATTGTCAGTGCAGACAATACTGTTACAGAAATGAATATTCTCAAGGATACTGTGGCTACAGTTTATTAAAACAATGCTGTTCAAGGTCAGTTTGAGGATTTCTAAACTTGTATAAAGGTATCGGGGCTTACTTTAAGCTAAAAAAAAAACTGATAAAATTTTGAAACATTGGTGTCTTTATACATTTTGCTCTAGTACCAAATGAAGACAGATTGTAGGCGTATCTTTTATTAGTGTCATAATAAATCATTCTAATCTCAAAATTTAACATTTCCGAGACAAAGCACAGAAATTGTCAACCTGATGGTCATTGGGAATTTTATACTTCATTTTGGGGAAAATTTTCAATAAGCACTTATTGTTTTATGAATACAAATATACACCTAAAGAACACTAATGAATACATGAATATGCATATATTCCATTTCTAAATCCAAATGGTAAAAGGTATAATTGTAAAAGTTACCAGATTGACATTGCATGTAGATCAATATCATTCTTAAACTTTAGTAAAAAATATTTCTTTTCAGAACGCGCATATCTACTTGTACACATGAAAATGAATCCCTATTTAAATTAAGGATAATTCGCACAGTAAACATCTTTTAAGTGTAGAATATTCTGACAATACATGTATCTATGTTTGATGCAAATGCTCCCATAGAAAATTCTTATAAATGTTTATTTTTTTTTCAGATGGGGACATTCGAAAAAGGGTTATTACTAGACTAAAGATGTATCTGTTTGAATAAAAAAGTTTAAAATGTTCTGAAGATGTTGTGCTTTGAATTTTTATCAAAGGATTTATCTCTGCTTCCCATTTCCAGGAGGAAAATTTCCTTTTGTTTAACTTGTAGTGATTTTAAAAAAAAATAACTGTAGAAACATTCTAAAAGTTTTTATATATCGGCCAAAAATCCTTGTAAACAGGGTAATGTTAATTCATTTATTTAATTGGACGTCAAAAATTGATTATGTTTGATTTTTTCCCCTAAACAGTAATAACGATAAAATTATAAATCATGAAGTTTACGTACATGTTCTTGTTATATATAAGGCAGAAGGAATATGCCCCTGAATTGTGATTTAGGATCCAAACCTCTTAAATATATGTTGCATTAAAGTTTTAGAATTCAGAGAATGTAAAATGAACGGCTAAATGCATAGCAATCTTTATTTTCAAGGTTAGTTTAAATTCTCTCAATTCTAAACTTTAACAGTGTTTAATGTAAAGAGCGCTTTGTAAAATTTTAATATTTCTGACCATTATTAATAAGGTTACCCCTACCTTAGCTGCTAGATATATTATCTATGGTAAGAAATATTACGGTAATGTTATACATAATACCGTTCATGGCCGTAGGCACGGGGGGGGGGTAATTTTGCCGCTATACATAGTGTATATCTATAGAAAACAGCTGTGTTTATGCTTGTGCCCCCTGAATAATAATGTCTGATAACCTTAATTTTTTTTTTTCTCTATCAAGGAATTGGTAATGCCCCCAAAACTGAAATGTTTGGTTGTGCCCCCCTCCCCGGTCTGCGGCTAACTAGTACACTATCATTAATCTTTAAAAACAGTTGCCCTTGAGTATCACTGAGCTGTTGGTGTTTCTTTTTTTTCCTTGTTTATAGATATCTTAACAAGAAAATTCTTTTTACAATTTTAAGAGAAAAATTCAAATGTACTAAAACAAATCTTAAAAAGAAAATATTCATTAAATTTGTGAAAATGTAACTGCGTTTTGGGATAAGACCGGGTCCTTAGAAGACAAAATCATTTTAACGATGGAACGTTCTGTCTAGAAAAGTTCCATAAATAAGCTTAGTATAGCTATGTTGTATTATATATCACAGTATAAGAAAATTTAAGTCATACAATATGAAGATTTGATAAAAGGGTGGGTCACAAACAACGGCCAAAGGCGCCTGAAATTTCATCCTGCATAAATCAATGTAAATTGCAAATAGAGCTCTAGCTTGAAAAATCCCATTCTCTCTAGGCTATATATAATCATTGTGTTGAGGCACATCCTGTACAAAAGATGTGAGCCCTCCCAACCCATCCCTCAAACAATTCACCCTTACGAATTGTTCCAAGTAAGGGCTAGCCAGTAAAACAAGATGGCGGCGCCCATGAAGAAAACCCAATCTCTACCCAGAGTTATCGTTCCCGCTACGCTCCACTAATACCTCTGTCAACGTCTAAAAAAGTAGTACGGAAGGCGTAGACGCTTGGCCTTTATCACAGGAAGATTAACAAGCGCATTACCTTAACTTTTCTGTATATGTGTCAATGCTGCAAGTTCTTTGTATTTAAAAACTAAACCATGTTGATATTTGTCGGCAATGCGTTTTAAATTTTCCACGTTCTCCATATCTGTCTACATTGGTGATGCAATATCCCGCCGAGAAATAATCACTTGTAAGATACGATGATACAGATATATCTCTTTCTAATTTTCATACATAAACTTTTCTTTAAATTTTAAAGCTTAAATATATAACTTGAAAATTTATAATATGTTATACAATAGGTCAGACTAAGTTTTGCCAAGAATCTTGGCATTTAGACGTTGACAGAGGTGTTGTAGCGAAGCGTAATACGCCCTCTGGCGAGAGATTGAAGAAAACCGTGGAACTTTTCTATGATGTTGTTTCGCCATATACATGGATTGGTTTTGAAGTTTGTATTGATTTCAATTGAACAATGTTTATTTTACCATTCTGTACGTAGCAATGTCCGGTGTCGCATAATTTACGTTCCGGATACTTTGCGTTCCGGCCGAAACCTTAAAATCATAATATTGGTTCCGGATTTTACTGTAAGTTTGGTTCCGGCCATGGCTGCAATCTTCGAATCGCGGTATCTCTCAATTATTACCTGCCAGTTTTCATTCTACACTGAGCCATAGAAGTATTTTTTTCCCTTGAGGATTAAGCATGGCGCAGCGGCATGCCATTTTCATGTGGCGCAGTGTTCTTTTTATAAGGCGTCATGCCCTTTTTGTACAGCCATTTTTAAAAATAAATGAATAAATAGCCCAAGTAAAGATCGCAAAATACGCTCTCTGATACATACACACCGAATAAAATTTGGTCGCATGAAAGGCTTAATTTATCTAATGCATACAAATTAAGTCCCTTTGTTTATCCAGTGCATGTCAGGTGTGAATTTCTCGCTTGAATGCACGCAGACCCGGTATTTACCATGTTTACAGGGTAAAGGGGATAGAAGATAAACTAGACTGAGATTACAAAAGGCTAAAAAGAAGCACAATGTCAAAGATAAATTTGATCAGTAAATTTTAATTTTATAATCTGATAAATTAAAGAATTAAATACAAAATGTTATATGTATTTACAGAGATGCATTCTCTGTTTAAATGATATTACAAGTGTTGCAAATTCCACAATGTCGAGCCTCGAATACATGGCTTCCATTCCTCATAGATATTATCACTTGGCATGAAAATATGATTTATATTCCATTAGAAATAAACAAACATAAAAATATAATTCACTGATGAAGATAGTTATATAGTTTTTGTGATAAATTAACAATGGATATTTCATGAATATGTGGTTTATTCTGCAATGAAACAAACATGAAAACATAACGATATGGTTTATTCCCTTAGAATAAACAAACACAAGTAATTAATGAAAATTATGTTGTTGTTGTTTTTTAAAGACCGTAGGAAGAAAAAAAAACAAGGTTGAAATATGAAAAGTAAAGACCAGCAATGTTGATTGTGAAAAATTGAATTAGCTCAAATATTTTAGTAAAATCAAGGTTTTAGCAAATTTTAAATGATTTTTTTTTTATGTTTTAAAGGCCTTGAAATGCACTTTTCTGTAACTTCGATACATGCCCTACCCACCCAAACCTTAAGATATTTGGGAAAAACTTTTATTCCTTGGTGTTTTTTATACATAAAACACAATAAGAAAATGACAATTTTTATGACACTTTAAAACTTTTTTTATCGTTTTATACATACCATTATGTTTAATGAATATCAAAATTTGTGGAGAAAACATTCAAATATATACATGTAGGCAGAAGGCAAGCTGCAATAATGTAACACCCCTCCATTTTTTAAATCTCAACCCCCTCCCCCAAATTTAAAAAAGGGGAGGTTATAACAGCTCCAAAAATTAAAAAAAAAAGTGTTAGTTAATTATCTGACCCCCCTCCCCCCAAAAAATGAGGAGTTTAAATTACAGCATCTGCAAAAATGTAAAATTGTAAATTCATTTTTTTTTTATCATTTGCAAATTAAAAATAATTATTATTCCAGGTTACAATTTCTGAGAGTAATATCAAACATTTTTGTTTCCTGTTCGTTGTATTCTACCGTATAAAAAGATAATAATAAAGTATTTTCAAACATTTTTGTAACTAAGTTGTTTCTGTTCCACTTTATAACGAAGATAAAGTAGCCCGGAACCATAATTATTGTCAGAATTAACGTTCCGGGTTACAATTGGGAGAGTATTTTCAAACATATTTGTTACATGTACTAGGTTGTTTCTTTTCCACTTTATTACGCGTACGAAGAAAAATTAATTAATTTATTACGAATAAAAATTAGATAACGTTTCGGCTTACAATTGCTCTGTATTTTCAAACATCTTTTGTTACTAGGCTGTTTCTTTTTCACTTTATTACGAAGATAAAATAGCGCGGAACTAAAATTATGGTCATAATTAACGTTCCGGGTCACAATTGCTTAGAGTATTTTCAAATATTTTTTCTTACTAGGTTGTTTCTTTTCCACTTTATTACAAAGAAAAAGTAGCCCGGAACCAAAATTATGGTCATAATTAACGTTCTGGGTTACAATTGCGGAGAGTATTTTCAAATATTTTTGCTGCTACGTTGATTCTTTTCCACTTTATTACGAAGAAAAAGTAGCCCGGAACTAAAATTATGGTCATGATTAACGTTCCGGGTTACAATTGCTGAGAGTATTTTCAAATATTTTTCTTACTAAGTTGTTTCTTCTCCACTTTATTACAAAGATAAAAAGTTAACTTTAACCTTGGCCATAACTTTTGACATTTGATGCTAGGGCTTTTATATATTTCACATGTATATTTCATGTGACGGGTCCTTTCCCTGGGTATCATTGAATTTGATCACAATTTGAGTTTGACCCACTTTTTAAAAAATGTAACCTTGGCCATATATAACTTTTGAACAGTTGGTTCTTGGGCTTTCATATTTCACAGGTATTTTCATTGATACAAGTCGTTTTTTTTTTTTTTTTGGAAAACAACATTTTGATCTCTTGACCTTAGAGTTTAACTTGCACTTTAGAAACTTTACCTTTCACAAAAGACTGCCGTACGGGAGCATCAGTGTTTCACAAACGCATTTTGTTTTTTATTACTTCTCACTTTACCTAATGTGTTTACGTTAAAGCGTTTGAACTTTTTTTAACTATTAATCTACAACAATTCCAGTATTTAATGTGAGCATGTAACCCTGTCTTTGACACAAAATCTTTCAATTTTAGTTTTAAAGGTTTATTATTATTTATTAATTGCTTTAGACATATATCTTATCGCATTTCAACAATAACAAACACAATGCCAAATAATACATAATGGCATATTGTATGATAGTTTTTATAGATTACACAATCGTCGTATATAATGATTTCATTGGAGAATTACCATATCATATAAGAAAAAACTTTCTCTCAACTTAAAAGCATA